AAAAATTCCTGCATTCAGCTTGCCTCACTGACTTTTGGAAATTTTTCTTTCAGAAAATTGAAAGCCTGGCTTTTGTCCAGTGCCTTTACAAAGTTTTTGAACAGACCGAGCTTGATGTGCAGTGGCGGAAGAAAAATGTTCTCACGGATTCACCAGAGCATGGGCAACAACATTGTGAGAACCTGGAGTAAGTCCACTTCTTGCAGGCCAGTCACTTGCATGTAGTGCTGCTTGTCTGCTCGACTATCCCACAGACAGAGGAAACATGGAAACTTGGTGTAACAAAATTTAATTGTGAAAAATATGTAAAAAACACGGACATATACTCTTTTTCTCTGCGTCACGGCGGACATTTAAATGGCGCGAGCACGTAGAGTGTATTTAAATGCATCGTAAGGGCATTAAAACTGACCGAAATCTTTCTGTGAGGCTTGCCAATGTCTCGGATGATTTTTAATGAACGAATATGAGGACCCCATTTTGAGCGAAAAATGCCAATATTTTACCTGAATCTCCGCTTAAAATGCTATAGCACAAAATTCTGACCTGATTGAGCAAAATGGATAACATTTTGAGATCAGCATGCAAAATACCCAGAAAAGCAATAATACACAGACCTCCAAAACTATGCAGGGCAGTGTAATCAATCACCACTCTTTGGATGCAGTAGAATCCTCGCCTTCAACGTCTGAAAGAAAGCTCTCGCCTTATCTCTTCACGGCTGTGTGCGTCTTGGAGTAAACTGTTGTGCATCCCGGATCCTGTCCTGTGCCCGTCAGTCGCCCCACCCAGAGGACGAGATGTTGTGTTCTACAGCTGCTGCATCTCAAGTCAGTGGTTTCATTGAAGGCCGTCTTCACATCAGAAGAGTCTACAGCACGGATGCAGACAAGACCCCTGAAGATCTCCGCACCCGAGGGCCGACCCTTCCTACATCCGGCCTCGTCGACTGTGTCTCCCAAGGATTTCCATCTAACCGACACGACCTTCATGAATTGCAACTCCCGTGCTGGAAAATACGTGAGGACCTCTATTGTGACGGAGACCTCGTCTTGTATGGTCCGCAGTAGTTATTCCTGCTGCCCTACGCCGCCGTACCTTGACCCGCCTTCACGACAGCCATCGGTGGAGGGCACCAAGTGACGGGCGAAGCAGACTGTATTTTGGCCCGATCGACAGGAACCTTTATGTGCGACGACAACCCTTCAAGACCCTTGAGTCTGTGTCGGCGATTTCTTTGCAGTAGCAGGGAAGTCCTTCGTCATTGCCGACCGACTGTCTGATGGCCTGTTGTCGTCCTGTGGTAGTGATACAACGGCTACTGCTACCATCCGGGCTTCAGGCATTACTTCAGAGAAGTTGGTGTTCCCCTCCGCCTCAGGAGTGATGGAGGACCCAGTTCACCAGCCACGAGTTCCGGGACTTCATGGACCGTTGGGAGTCCGTCATGTCGTGACCTCGCCCAACTACCCCCAGGTGAATGGACACGCTGAAGCCGCAGTCGAGACTGTGACACCTGATCCTTAAGGTGTCACCCTCAGGAAATATCGACTGCGGGACTTCGATCGCGAGTTTGTTGGAGTTCGCCCCCGAACTTCACCGGACGCTCCCCAGCCCAGGTTCTATCTGGACATCATCTCAGGTCTTGTGTTCCTGCCCACCCAAAGTCTTTTCTCCAAGAGTGGCAGGCCAAGACTGAGGAATGTATCACCGTGCAGCAGAACGAGCCGCAGATGTTGCTGCTAAATGCGACTGTCATGCCCGCCCCTTCCCAGGTTGAGTATCGGCCAGCAGGTCAGGATTCAAGATCCGTTATCTCACTGGGACAAGGTTGGGGTTATCATGGGTATTGGCGGTCCAGGGACCAAGGCCTCCTAGTGGTAGTAGAGTATGGTGGAGAACCAATGCCTCCGACCTGTGGAGCTGCCTAGTGTTGACCTCCCAGTTGAGTCCCCTAATGTTGATGTCTCTAAAGTAAATCCATTCCCCACCGTGTTTCTCCCCAGTATCCGCAGTCCGGCGACTCAGAAACAGAAAGGTCCGCCAAGATGAAACTATGAGCGTATAGGGGAGGAGGTGTATGATATGGAACAAAGTAGTACCTTCAGCTGTGTATTATTATATTACTCTTATATTACTCCATTAATTATGTATAGTAAAGTATTACAGAACATGTATTAATTCTATGTAATAGTCCATTTATTGTGCACCATATTATGTATATAAATTATCATATTTATACTTTATGTATTCAACTTGTGAATGCTGGCATCTGTACATCCCAGCGCCGAGTAATACATAGATAGATGAGAGAGAAGACAGAGTCCTCGTAGAATGCGTTTCTGCGTCTATCATGTATATATCTTACGAGAATAGAACCTACTTTTAAGACAACAAGTGTTTGTGTATACCCTGTAGTATAGAACATTTTGTGGGTATCCGTGACAACACGTCAGACCTACCTCTAAAGTAAGTGTTTGTGTATACCCTCAGTAGTATAGAACATTTTGTGGGTATCCTGACAACTCTCTTTTGCTCACTATTAAGCACAAACCTGCTCTTGTTGTTCCTGAGAGTGCAAGGGTGTTCTTCATGGTGTCTTTGTGTCATCATGTCTCCGTGTTCAGTATCTTCATCACCAGTCCGAAGCAAAACATAAGCGTGCGGTAGGTTGGGAGGTCAATGACACTTCTGATGGGTTTTCAAAGGTTTCAGCTACCAGCACCATGTCTACTTTAACACCACCCTAGTTATTACAGTATATAACTTGATCCACAAAATAAGATGCAACAGGTACTATTGGAGTTATTTATAGATTAAATAATATGAAATAAGTTAATTCTTCGGCTGCAGAAGTACAGTACGTTAAACTGGAACAAATATACAAACTTAACAGTATTATCATTTTAAATCTAACATTATTAACATGATGTATACTTAACTAGCCAAGTAAAACCAAGTTAGACTTAATGT